GCCATCCTTGCATTCCAAGAGTACTTCTCACTTGCTCATGTTGTAGAATTCTTTTAATATGCTGCCAAATTCTGTTTGCTAGTTTGTCGATGGTTTTTGCACAAGTGTTCGTAAGAGATATTGCTCTATACTCTTCTGTTCTTGCAGTATCTTTATCTGGCTTTAGTATTAAGGTAATTCTGCCTTCATAAAATGAGTTAGGAAGTTTTTCTTTCTCTTAAACTTTTCTAAAAGTTTGAGAATGTTTAGTATTTGTTTTTCTCTATATACTTGGTAGAAGTTAACAGTGCAGTAATCAGCCTTTTTTCTTCTGTAAAAAAACCAACCAACCAACCAAACAAACAAACAAAAACACATACCAGTATGGGTGAATTTTTAAAAGTCTAAATGATTTTTAAATTATTCCAGAACTTGTGATAGATAAAGATGCTCTTTAAGAGAAAAAAACTGAATATATTAAAACTTTTAGTTTTCATTTGTTTTATGTCGTTCAATTTTAAGTTTTCATGTATTATGCATTTGAACCCTTTGAAATATTTTCATTTTTGAAAATTCATTGTTATTTCATTTGTTTAGTTTCTATGATTTAAAAATATTCTACCACAGATAACTTGTTAAAGATTCAGAGTTAAGTTTCTAAATTGAATGCCTAATCTGCCTCTGCTTTTGAGGTTTTTAGTTTTTTCTTGGCCTGTGGCCATGTAACAACTAGTGCAAAAATCAGTGTGGTGTACTAGCTTTGTTCTTCCATCACAGTAGTCTCGGTCTCTTCAGGATTTTGCATCTTCCTTGCAGTTCAACAGCCATTCTCTTTTTGGTTTTGGCTTTCAACAATCTGCCTTCAAAGATCTTTTGTTTTCTGACGGTTGAAGAAACTGGCTCAGTGTTACTTGTAGACAATTATTTAATTGTTTACAGATAACTGAAACTCTCTATGATGGTTTCTGTGGTGAATCCCTTTATTTCAATGAAGGCTTGTCATGTTGAAATGATTGGTCATCATAATCTTTAATGACTGAGAAAATTGATTTTTAAACCAAATAGCACCAAAAAACTTACTCTTTTCTGATTTTGTACTGCATATAATTGTGGATTATTACAAATCTCTTTCTTTTTAAAACCTAAGACATAGCAGATGTAATGCTTGGTTAGTGTTTTTTTTAACATGCTTAAATAAATACACTCTATAGAAATTTTCACTTTATTGAAATAACATAAAGTATTTTGATAACTGCAAATAAAGATGAACCTATCTTCTACAATAAAGAGTTTAGAACTTCCGCCCTGGCTGGTTTGCTTAGTGGTTAGAGCGTTGGCCTGCGGTCCAGAGAGACCCGGGTTCAGTTCCCGCTAAGGGCACGTCCCTCCATTGCACTTTGTCCCCGGCCCTGGTTGGGTCGTGCGGTAGGCAGCCACTCGATGTGTCCCTTTCATGTCGATGTTTCTCTCTCTTCCTCCCACTCCATCTGAACAAAAAATGTTGTCGGGTGAGGATTTAAAAACAAAACAAAACAGAGTTTAGAACTTCTAAAACATATCACATCACAATCCCAGTTAACCCCAGGGAGCAGTTCAGTGAAGAGTATTTTGAATTCTTAATGTAATATTTATATTTATTGGCTTATTTTCATTATTATAAATGTCTCAGAGTATCACTTTGTGTTATTTAAACTTTTAGTACATTTTCATGAGTGATATTCCATGGGGGATACATTTCTACTTTTATTAAGCGAGCCAGTAGGAAAATATGATTTGTTTTCCACAGTTGATTTAAGCCAGCCTATCAGTAACACATCTGTTTCATAAAGTTAGGTACACCTGGCGCATGATAATGTATAATTATTTCCCTTCAGAATTGTTTAGAAGAGTCCCATTAAACCACTGTCAGCCAGCATTTACTGATCACTTACTAGGTACAGACTTTATTTTCAGTACTTAAGTGCGTTCATCCATTTATGTTATAAATATCTAAAATCCATATTTTGCTTCCTTTCTCTTTTTATTCCATCCCTCACCCCCTTCTCCAGGCTGGTTTTTCTTAAGACAGATACTTTTTTTTTTTTTTTTTAAATTAATCCTCAATTAATTTTCAGAGAAGGTGGAAAGGAAGGAGGGAGGAAGAGAGAGAAAAACATCTCTCTGAGAGAGACACATTGATTGGTTGCCTCCCGCAGGACCCCAACTGGGGCAGGGAATTGAACCTACAACCCAAATATGTGCCCTCAACCAGGAATCAAATCCACATTTCAGTCCAAGGGCAGACACTCTAACCGCTGAGCCACTTTTAAGAACTAGTTCAATTCAGAAATAGGAGTAGCTCCTATTAAGATTGTCCACTTAATTTATGGAGCTCTCTATTGGTAAGCAGAGAAAAAAGAGAAAGGAATCAGAACTAAGTAGTATCAGGAGACAGAGCAGATTCCCTGGATGGGTGCTGATTTCACCTTAATGGCAAGCCAAACAAGGTGATACAAGTTGCCAAAGAGCCAGCAGGAGGATGAAAAACAGAACTTGTAAACAGTAAGGTTGAAATAGCTGGGTTGGGTCAGTGGGTAGACAAGAAGCCTGGTCTTAGATGTCCAAAGAATAAAAGAAAGAAATTCATGTTTTAAATAAATAGCTTCATACACATGACGAGTATTGGTTATATGTTTAAATATATATGCCAAGTTACTTTATATCTCTCTATGTCAGATGATTGACTATCTTATGGTTATATCTTATCTACATTTGTATCTAGCTAGGATGTTTGGTGCGCATTTATTCTGGGGAGGCAGCTTGGTATGAAAACAGCATGGAATTTGAAATTTGATAGACTCAGATTTGAATTTCAACCCTTGATATTTGAGTTATTGGCATTAAGCAAGCTACTTATTTCACTCCACCCCCTAGTTTTACAGAGATATAATTGACATATAACACTGCCTAAGTTAAGGTGTGCAACATTATGATTAGAGATACATGTATTGTGCAGTGTTTACTTCATAAGTTTAGCTAACATCTATCACCCTACATAGTTACAATTTTTTCCTTTGTGACAAGAACTTTTAAGATCTCTCTTAGCACCTCTCAAATGTAATACGGTATTGACAACCATAGTTACCATGCTATATGTTACATCCCAGAACTTATTTATCTTGTAAGTGGAAATTTGTACCTTTAGACCTTCCTCACCCATTACCCCACCAGTCCCCCACAAATTCCACCCTCTGGCAACCACTAATCTGTTCCCTATTACTATGAGGTTTTTTTAAAAAAAATTTCTATAGAAGAAATGTCATATAGTATTTATCTTTATTTGACTAAGCATAATATCGTTGAGGTCCATCTGTGTTGTCACAAATGACAGGATTTTCTTCTTTATTACATCTGAATAATATTCCATTGTATACACATTTATTTTATCCTTTCATTTATCTATGGACACTTAGGTTGTTTCCATAACTTGGCTATTGTGAATAATGCTGCAAAGAGCATATATCCTTTTGAGTTAGTGTTTTAAAAACTAAACTGGCTAGTTTTCAGCGGTTAGAGCATCGGTCTGCAGTCCAGAGAGACCCAGGTTCAGTTGCCGCTAAGGGCACGTGCCTTGGTTGCTGTTGTCTCTGGCCCTGGTTGGGTCATGCGGGAGGCAGCCACTTGATGTGTCCCTTTCGCATTGATGTCTCTCTCTCTCTCTCTCTTCCTCTCTCTCCCTCCCACTCTATCTGAACAAAAAATAGAAAAATGTCTTTGGGTGAGGATAAACAAAACAAAACAAAACTAAAATGATGGTTTTACTCTTGCAATTTAAAAATATCATTTAAGTAAATTTTCTTATTATGAGATAAAAAAGAGACACTTATAATAAAACAGACGTATGTAGAAAAGGTAAGGGTCAAGCTCTGGCCAGGTAGTTCAGTTGGTTGGAGCAAAAATACACAAAAAAGATTGTGGATTCAATTCCTGGTCAGGGCATATAATTTAGGTTGTGGGGTGCAGTCTCTGGTTGGGGCATTCTAGGGCAACCGATTGATGTTTCTCTCTCACTTTGATGTTTCTCTGTCTCTCTCACTCCCTTCCTCTCTAAAAACAGTAAAAACATAGCCTCGGATGAGGATTAAAAAAAAAGAGGAGGCTCAACAACATTGAAAAACAAAATAAGCCCTGGCTGGGATTTGCCCAGTGGTTAGAGCACTGGCCTGAAGACCAAAGAGTGGCAGGTTCTTTTCCAGTCAAGGCCACATACCTTGGTTTGATTCCCAGCCCTGGTCTGGATCATGTGGGAGGCAACCAATTGATGTGTCTCTCTCACATTGATGTTTCTCCCCCCTACTGAAAACCAGTGGAAAAATATCCTCAGGTGAGGATTAAAAAGAAAAACAAAATAAAACAAATCTTTTCAGTGATTCAGTTGCTCTAGGATGATAAATTTAATTAATTAAAAATTAAATATAAGTTGAATGACAACATTAGTTTTGAAAATTGAAAAATTGCAAATGCTTTAAAATTTCAGAGTGAGAAAAATTGACCATTGGTCATGTTTAAGTATTTTTTTTTTCTGATTTCAAACAGTGAACAATATCTGAAAAATTTCAAGGTTGTGTTTTTTATAAAAATGCTACGTTGACTATTATCATGTTGGTAAAAAGTTAAATGAGCATGCCATTTCATTTCTGAATAATATGGTATATATAGAAGATAGTAAAATTTTAGTTTTATTATAGCCAAAGAAATGTCAGTGGTTTAAAAACAATGTGGATCTTGAATTTCTTTTGAGTAATCATTGGATATGTGCATTTGAAGATAATATTACGTGATTTGTACAATCATTTTTGAATGGTTGAAACATAATTGCCTATTTCTGTGCCTGGTAGAAATAACATAAATATGAAGTGGTAGATATATGTCTCTTATATAAACTGCAGATGTTACTAAAATAGCACTTGCTGTGTGTTTTTCATGTTAAGTGTGCACTGTCTTTAAAATTTGAGCCTTACTTATTGCTGTCATTTAAACAGGTGTCTCAATGCTTGTACCTACTGCAAAACTAAACACGCCCGAGGAAACCTGGCCAGTTATCCAATTGCCGAGCTAGTAGATCGAGCCAAACAGTCTTTTCAAGGTAAGAGTGTCTAGAATTATGAAATTTTAGTCTTCTTAATAAATTATAGTTGTCTTCTAATTTGTTTTACTTTACGTACATGTTTCTTTGGTTTTCTGAAGAGTTTACGAATATTTCCGCTTACCTGGAAGATTCAGTCAATCAGGCTATCGTAGTATTCACATTTCTGTGCTTTAACCACTTTCATTTTTTTATGACTCAAGGTAAATGGCATAATTTGAATTTTATCACTTACCTGTCGATTCTATGGAAAAGACAAGAAAAGAAACCTATGACCTTTTGATGTGTGTTAAGTCTTTTGTGGACTAAGTGATAAACTTTTTGAGATTTCTACCTCTTTCTTTGATCATTTCTGGACCATTAGAAAATAGAGCTCATAAGCATTTTCCAGAATCTTGGAAGGAGAAGGTAGATTTTACTATCAGCCAATAAAGATAGCTTTTCCTATCCACAGGACTATTAGATCAGTAAAGAGTGGTACTGATAGAGAGCCCTAAAAATAATGATTCTTTGTGTGGGTGGCCAGCTACTTCTGAATCATCACTTGCTCGAAAATGGGATTGTCTAGGTACCTCTCCGCACAAAGCAAGACTTATCTTTTACATGAGTCACAGTTGTGTTGGTTGACACACCATTGCTTAAACCATAAACTTTCCTTTTTGTCTTTGTTTATACTAGGTGTCTATAACATCAGGTGTGCTTTTACACCCAACATGAGATAATCTATTGTCTCATAATCTTGTGGGTTAATAGCTATTGGCCATGTACTTTTCCTTGTGACGAGTAACTTGGAATGCCACTTTCAGTGTTCACGCCCTGAATCAGCAAGTATGAGTTCCAAACACATTTCTTTATTTAGTCTCTCTAAAGCTTTTCTTGACATGAATTTGGAATGCTCTTAATAATAGAGGAAAAATAACCTTGGTAGATTTATTAACTCCTCCCAATAATTTGCTTCTGCTTTTATATTCTTAGCTCAGTCCACTCTTCTGCTCCCATTCCACTTGTATTAAACAAGAACTGAAAGGAAACTCGCGGACTCGCCACGTGTCCTTTTGAGAGGGAGGTCGTTATCTAATCCAAGGAGGAGTCTGGGTCGTGGACTTTTCTACCACAGTTGCATTAAGGATTTTTCAGAAAGGGCATAAATTTGCACAGAAACCTAATATATTTGAAAAATGATGCCTTTTCTGACATTCTTACGTAGTGTTTGTTTTTTATGTATCTGTTTGTTAATGGAGATATTAGCATTATATGATCTATCCATCAAACACTAGACATTGGCCCTGGCCGGTTTGGCTCAGCGGTTAGAGCGTCGGCCTGCGGTCCGGAGAGACCCGGGTTCGGTTCCCGCTAAGGGCACGTACCTCGGTTGCAGTTTGTCCCCGGCCCTGGTTGGTCATGCGGGTGGCAGCCACTCGATGTGTCCCTTTCACGTCGATGTTTCTCTCTCTCTCTCTCTCTCTCTCTCTCTCTCTCTCTCTCTCTCTCTCTCTCCTTCCCTCCCTCTCTCTCCCTCCCACTCTACCTGTACAAAAATTGGGAAAATGTCCTCGGGTGAGGATAAAAAAAAAAAACACTAGAAATTGGCAGGCATACAAATTAGTCTCTTCAAGTCACTTTTTCAACATTATGCATCTCTAAATGCAACTACATATACTTTTTAAAAATCTTCTCATTTTACTCTGAAAATTTATTTGAAAAATATAAAACTGTTCAACCCCCACGTAGAAAGTGGAAGTGTTCTCCTGGCTCCCTCACATCTGTCCTCCTCTAGAACCTATAGTAACACTTTGATACGATTGCTTCACGGCTTAGTCTGGACACATCTGTGTATTATATGTGACTTGAGGGGGGAAAACAAAGGAGTCAACATAGTCTTGATAAAACGATTATAGAGTTACTCTAAATAGAGCCAGCACACGTACCTCTCTGCTTGTCTTTAGAAATGCCCTCTGAACAGCAGAGATACAGGGTGTGCTTGTCAGACTGTAACTGTCAGTTAACGCTGACACATCCAAGTGAGTTAGTTGGGCTACGTAAGGTGAGTGATTCAAAGACTATACTAGTTAGAGGTTTGGAGTGACTTAGTGGCCATTTATAGAGAAAGTATTATAAGAGGTTTATTTAGTACTGCTTTCATCATCATCATTAGTGTGTGTATATATATATATATGCCTTTTAATTCCCAGTCGTGGAATGTTTGCAATGTAAGATTTTTCTGTTGTCCTGTCTCTGTATTAGTACAGTTGAAACTGAATGCTAGTTTTTGGATTGGTGAGCTCATGTGCTTGATATGTGGTAGTTACTAAAATGTTGAGATCATAACTTTCTAGGTAAGCCATTGTATTTAGGACAGTTTTAAGTTGTCAAGTATTTGATCCTCTTTGTCTGAAGAGAGTTTGAATTGAAACAGTGGTCTGCTGCTCACCGGCTACATGACCTGAGCCAGGTACGTGACTTCTCCGAACCGTGGTTTTCTCATCACTGTGACGTTTAGGGTTGTTTCTTGTTAGAATCTGAGATAATGTATGTGAAGTAATTGCCTGTGTCCTGATTATGAAGAAGACATGTTACTTAAACTGAAGGAATTTAAAATGAATCCAAATAGAAAAGCTTAAATTTTGAGTGAGAATATTGGAACACCTGTAACAAACATTAATGACTAAAATTAAATGACAAGTTTTCTTTTGCTTCCAAAATATGTCCTATGGAAAATGGCTTTATAGATGGAAACTATCTATTATGACAATTACCTTTCATTTCCTTAATTTTAGAAAAGCAAATTCATGCTAAGAATGGCCTTATACTCCCTTCCCACTATAGGAAATAAGTCTATAGCTCACATTTTCAAGACAGTGAGTTAGTTCATTATCTCTTTTCTGCAAAAGATAGTGGGATTTTAATGGTCTTACAGAATTTCTATTTCAAGAATAATTGTGAAGGTAAATATAAGAGAAGAAATTACCCATTTTCTTAGTTTTATGATTTTTGCATATTTAGTTCCTTCATAACTCAGGTGTTAGGAATATTTTTTGAGTCATAACCCCTTAAATTCTGCATTTTATACCGTTATGAAATTATATGCCCTATAATGAATAAAGAATAACAAATACTGCTCTTTGAAAGGTTATGTTAAGATGAAAAGTTTAAATATGTTGCCAATAAATTTTAGCACTATGTTTAAAGTCAGTGGAAATTAAATTCCCCATTCTGAAAATTACATTTGCTTTCTTTCTTTTATTTACAATTTTTAATGACTGTGTAGAAATACAAAGTATTTTTTAAAAACTCTAAACCATTTGTGGAATGGGGATTTGAACTCAGGTTGCCTGTCGTGATACAATAAGATCACAATTTCTTTCTGAATAGCACATTTATGAAACATTTTATCTTCGTAAAAAAGTATTTCTTAGTAGTCTAATGAATATGAAGAGACTTAGAGCTAACCCAAAGGCAAGGGCACATTGAGAAAAGATTCATGAAATCATTCTGAAAGTAAAATGGTTTCCCAGAGAACTAAGAATATACTGACTATACATTCAGGTGCCAAAGTTAAGAAAGGCAGCTCGTTAACTTTTCAGTGGATAGCATTCAAGTCACAATTACTATATTTTGAAATAGGAATTCTAGTTTACCTTTTACATATGTGTTCGTGTGTGTGTGTTAAATTTCTGATTAATAGGGTTCTGGTTTTTTTTTTCTTTTTCTCTCACTGAACCTAGTACCCTTGACATTTTCTTTGACTATTTTTACCTTCTCTTGTGTTTTTCATTTTTGTGGGCAGTTCTGCATATGAGTAGAAGATTTACCAGGTACCTTCTGGGTACCATCTCATTGTCTCACAGACTGCTGGGAAACCTTCCCCCTTACTTCCTCACTGCTGAGATTTCGGTTTTACAAATTCCTAGGCATAGCAGTGTCTGGGGGCTGAGGTTTGACATGGTTGCCTTTTAGATATCTAGAAAACATGTCAAGCAGTGGCCAGGACTTTGTTGAGGCCAGAATGAATTTACAAGCTAGTGTTTTCTAGCATATTTGTATTGATTTTTCTCCAGCAGCTAATCAATCAGTTTCAGTGGTATAAGTGATGGAACAAACCTTTTTAAGTGTGCTGGGTGAGTGGTGTGGAAACAACACCTTTCACTGCTGTCTCAGGAATCAAAATGTAGAGATGATGGATGAGCAGTTTCCATAGCTATCGTGTGCTTTTCTAGATCTCATTTGTGTGTTGTTACTTTTTTTGTCCCTCATAAATCTGAAAAACAAACAAAAAAACAACCCTGTAAGATAAGTGGTATAAACCAGTTATAGGAAGGTAAATAGATTAAGGTGAACTGTTCAAAGCAGGGAGAAAATTTCTTGATGCTTAGTGATTTTGGTATTAATGTTGGAATTGTAAAAAATGAATTCTGTTATATTTCAAGACCTGCAAAGATACCATCCATCGTGTATAAGATTAATTATGAAGCACAACTGGAAAACATTGCTTTTTGTCCTTTTAGATCAGAAAGGGTATGAGCGATATTTGATTTGCTGGTGTGGAAACCTCAGATTGTTGAGATGTATGATTTGTATCAAGCTCCATTTGATTGATTACTGTTAGCAAGAGTTACTATATAAAAGAGACCTATAGTTGCATCCTATTAATTTATAAGGCAGTTATTTAAATCTTTTATTCCTTTATTTTTCACTTGTGCTATGTTGAAAGAAAACTGTAAAATCTATTCTAAAGGATTAATAATGTTAATTTAAATGTGGTTTGTTTGTTGTTGTTTTGTTTTGTTTTTGGTACATTGTCAACTTCCAGAAAGGATTTCAGGCAGCTTACATTAAATGATTGCATGTAATAGACCATGAAAATAAAAGCTATATAAAATGCTGTATTGTGTTTGGAAAGAGGAAAGATGATTTTACCAACTGATAGATCTCGGCTCTCCAGAAGAATAATGAAGTGGTGTGATTTATAGAATTGAAATGCATGTGTAAAAGGAAGTATA